TTGCCTTGGCCGTGATGGGATGATCCCCAGTGACCATGATGACCTTGATCCCGGCCGATCGACACTTGGCCACGGCCTCGGGAACAGCAGCTCGAGGCGGATCGATCATGGACACGAGACCGACGAATCGCAGTCCATTCAGAGGGAAGTTCTGCTCCTCCGCATCGAACTTATAGCCAGGAGGGAACTTGCTCACAGGGAGTTTGTAATCGCAGAATCCGAGAACACGCTCCCCAAGACTTCCAAGCTCCATGTAGGCGGCATTAAAGTCATCCTTCCAGTGACCATCCAAGGGAAACTCTTGGCCATTCACAAAGATGGTGGAACAACGTTCCAAGATACGTTCGGGGGCTCCTTTCATCACCAGCAGGTATGATAATTGATCATCTAGATCGTTTCTCTCGTGGATACTCACCTGTAAAAAAAATTTTCCGATAAACAAGATCGTCTCTTCATTTAAAAAACTCAATAGCTACAAGATTTTTGCAGAAGAAATATTCAAACAAACCCATTATCCATACGCAAAATGCAGAAATGTTCGGTAACTGCACTTTAGCCGAATATTTTTCATCAAACTGGAAGGTAGGATGATTTAGGGTACATGTGAAACAAGGGTGAACAACAACTTGAATTTTTTTGGTTGAACTATCCTGTTGTGTGATAGCATGTGAAGGAAACTTGTGAGAGAGGGAATTCAGACTGGGCGAAGTGAATAGTGCACCATTAGTTGCCACCTATTTTGAATGCCCATTCTCAGATGGTCAAAGTAAGAAATAACTATTCTAGGAGAAAAAGGAACAAGTGAAATAGACGGAAGAGCAATGAAAAAGAAAAGAGGGAGGTTCAACAAATGTGACTTTAACAAGCATTCGTTCTTAAGTACCATTAAGTACCCTCGGGGATGAGAGAATATCCAATCACTACGGCTATTGTTGCGAGAACGTTAGTTACAATGGTTCCTCGCTCTTTCTTCGCTCGCATTTCGCTGTTCTGAACGCCTGTTTGAACGAAAGCAAAGCGTGCGCCCGAAATCCAGTCACAAGTTCTTTTAGGATCTGTTTGATTATTCCCTTCTATCCACCGCACATCCGATACGCTTGCAAAGAAACATTGGGAAAACGTTGCTCGTTCACCTGGTACTTATTGGTGGAGTTGAAGGGGATCTCACAGATCTTCTTGTATTTCTTTTTGTAGCCTTCAATGTTTCCGATGGCCATCTCGACACATTTGAGGAGAGCAGCCTCTGAAGCATCTCCCGTCACTTCTCTGAATCCCATACGAACATTTTAATTCTCTCCCACGAAAGCGATGCAGGAAATGCAAACCTCTTGAGGATGGGGACGTCGTCCTGACTGCCTTTAAAGACAGCTCGGTTGCACAGAGCAGCAACTCGAGCAAGGGCACCCCAGCCAGGCCCATCCTTGTCGTACGTCACACCTGGAATAAGGAACAGTAAGAGTTGCAAACAGACTGCCATCATCTGAGAGGACCTGATCGTTTGGTGAAACTCACAAGATTGGTCCTCTGACGTGTCAGCTTCAATAATCTCGTTGTCAAACCACATGTGAGCTACAGTCATACGATTCTGAGTCAGAGTTCCAGTCTTATCGCAACAGATGGTTGATGTGGAACCCAATGTTTCTACGGCCTCCAGATGCTTTACTAAGCAGTTCTTGGCTGCCATTCGCTTGGCTGTCAACGTTAGACTCACCTACAGGGAGAATAAAATTTTTTTTCCAATTTAAACATTGGAATTGAAATATTGTACATCCAGGAATGGATAAGCAGGATGACTCACTGTGATAGTGGCAAGCAGACCCTCAGGAACCATGGCGACAATGATCCCCACCAAAAAGACAGCGGAATCCAGAAAGTTGTAACCCATGACGGAAGCGACGAAGAAGAAGGTCACACCCAGAAATACGGCCACTGCCGTGACGATGTGAACGAAACGAACGATTTCCTTGGCAATCGGGGTCTGTCCAGAGTCCAAATCCGCTGCAAGGCCAGCGATTCGACCCATCGCGGTGTTGTCTCCTGTCAGGATTACAATGCCTTTGGCAGTACCTGAAAGGAGAACGAGAATACAACGAATTCAGGAATGGTCTCATACAAATTTAAAAAAATCAAATAAAGGCTATTCAGGTACCTTCCACAGCATAGGTGGAGAAGAAAGCTAAATTACTAGCCTCCAAAGGGTTTGGATGAGAGCAGTTAGGGTAGCGGGATTGAGGCCTAGATTCTCCTGTCAATGAGGAGTTGTCCACCTTAAATGCCGAAGCTTCGATGATTCGAATGTCGGCAGGGATACGGTCACCGAATTTCACATCTACAATGTCTCCAACGACAAGATCCTCTGATCGTATGGTGAGAATTTGGTTCCCTCGATGGACGACAGCATACTGGAAGGGTGTCAATCCACGACAGTGAAATCCTTCACATGACCCTAAAGTAGCAGGAATTAAGAAAAGGAAAAAAGTTCACCTGTGGGACCATTTTCTTGAAAGATTCCATGATACGAGAGCTTTTTGATTCCTGATAGTACGAGAAAATTCCGGTGATGAAGACAACAGAGGCCAACGCAATCCCAAGGAACAACTGCAATATTCGAAGGCTCAGGTAGCGTTTCGTTGAAGTGTCAAGAAAAAGTGAAACAAAATAAATAAACACACATTATCATCAGGTGGTGCAGTAATAGTGGCAGCCTGAATGGCGTAGGTGATGAAGCAGAGAATGGCGCCTAGGGTTAGCAAGAGGGAAAACCCTCCCGAGAATTGCTTGCAAATCTTGACCCACTCGGGGATGGCAGCTGGTGGAGTGAGGGCGTTTGGTCCGTCTCTTTCCAAGCGGCGCGTTGCTTCCTCTTGACTCAAACCCTGTTATTCATTTACCAAATTGGTTACACTATTTCCATGGGTTTCAGCACTAGAAAGTGGACAGTAAAATGGCCGAAAATCAAAAGCAAAAACTACCCAGATTACATGCATTCTCGGAAACGAACGCGAAATTAAGCTGACTGAGAAAACCATTCGCAATTCTCCAAGTAAATTTTGCGGGAGGTTAAATTCACTTGAATAGCAAAATGAACTAAATTTTTAAAATAAATAGTCTTTAACGAGGTTCTGCAATTGCATTGTTTTCCATTCTATAGGTCTGTATTAATGCAAGATTATCCCCATTTACCATCGGGAAAATGGATTAGAATATCAGACAGGCAGAATTTCAGTCCATTCGGTATTTTTAATATTGCGTGACGAATGCTGCCAAAAAGTTAAAATGGAAATGTGGAGTGGGACCCTCACCGTTTGAATGTCGACATCGAGCCTGGAGGACAATTCTTCAATCGAGATCTGATGATCATCAATGTCAAGTTCTTGCTTCAGCTCGTCTATATTGTGGTGAGCGTGTATGGGCTTATTTTCTCTCTTTTCTCTCCACTGCAAAATACGAAAAAAAAAGGTTAATGCAATGTCTCACTTTCGCAGTCACAAATGAAGACTTTCCTTTCATTTTTAATGCGCATAAAATATCCATAACAGTATGCCACTGCTAAGAGCAGAATGAGCTTCAGCTAACACTTTCGCAAGTGTTCAGTTACAAAACATATGAAAACATGATTGCATCCTATTCTCGCAAGGAAGGCACATATGAAGGGTTAAGACGATACCTGTGGCTGTGTCGCAGGTTTGATGTCCCCCAACACCCCTGACTTCCGGCGCTGGAAAAAAGTTGGTCAATTGTGAAAAATGCAAGCCCTGAGTACGGGCGGAATAACTCGTCATGGGATCACTGCAGCGAGAGTACTACATTATAAATTCGTAAATGCGTTATTTCAGAGGATGGAATTTTAAGGTTTTCCCGGTTGGTTCACCTACTTAGACCATACATGACCAGAGTCAAGGTACAGCTCTGTCTTGCAGACTCAAATAACTGGAGCTTGAGACCTTCGAAAATTCTTTAAGACCGGAAATGACCAGACATGAAATAAAAAATTATCCTCCAAGGTAACGAGAAGCAATATTGGAGCAAATGTAAGTCGAACTGTTAAGTGGCATAGATATATTAGATCGTGTACAAGCAGGTCACCATGGAACTGGCGACCTTCACGATCGCTTCCATGATACTTAATCCTTATCCTATCCATGATACTTAATCCTTAAATGCGAAGAGACAAGACAAGACGATGAAGAGCAAAAAGGGTTTTTTAAAAGGGATACGTCGTGTCGTAGCAAAATTAAATCAATGTGTGATCACATCGATTAAAAGCACTGTGTCAATGTCAGGAATAGAATTTGCAGAAATAAATTTGCATAAGGTAACTCACTTGATAAATCCCGTTGCTTTGACATGTAAGCGCTTCGATTTGTTCCAGGGTATATTTACCCTTCCCAGAGAAAGGTATATACAGAATGTTGCCCATGATGAATCTTGATTGGGAATGATATTTGCTCGTCTCCGACGGTAGCTCGGCTTGTAGACGAAGTCTGATGAGCAGTTGAAATGCTTTCCGAGTTTTGTCTTTTTTTTTTTACTTTACTTTTTACTTTTATGAGCGTATCGCGAGGGACTGTTTCTTCTAAAACTTAGACAATGGCACTGGACGATATCACACGCTGGCGAAGACGGAATTACTTCAAAGAAATGTTCGTCAAAAGGGAATAAAAAGGAATCACTCGGTTGTCAAGATTCTCCGATGCTATCTGACTGCCTCCAAGATGAGAATTTCAGTCTTCGATTGAGATAATAGCTCGTCGGATGTGGAGTAGAGGAGAATAGGAAAAGTGGCAGAGGCCAAGAGCTGTCCTTGCCTAACCACAAATCCTCTGGAGGGATGAAGTAGCAGACCGCGCAGGACCACCATAGGGATGAGGATCTTCCAGGCAAAAAGCGCCGGTATCTGGAAAAAAGCCTGATTTGGCAAGTTCAAGTCACACGAACGTACTGATACAGCACAAGTTTCGTGTGGGCCCTTTTACGACACTTCCCCTGGTGTGTTCACACTGCAACTCGAACACAATCTGGTGAGGAAGAAAGCAAGCCCTTGGTTGGAATGTTCGTCCGAAAATCTTTGCTGTGCTGCTAGGAAGTGCGAAGAGAGAGGGATGCTAAGCGAAACTATTATGGTGTAAACTTGCCTAGCTTAATAGGAGAGAAAAAATGTTGAGTATTTTTCTTTCTATTCTAGTATTTTTCTCGCGGCACGACGAAGCATTGCAGATGGCACATGGGATGGGACGCACTCTCCGAGCTACGAGTTTCTTACTATTTCCCGGCAAAATTGGGTCTATAATACTTGCATCATAACTGGATGCATAAATGACGAGCAACTTCATAGCTGTCTAAATTTTCACAAATTCCATGCCGATACTCTCGAAAACCTTTGCCTTTGAATTCCCAGAGGATCACTTTGGGCGAAGGCTTTTGCCAAAAGTGTTTCCCAGTTCGACCATGATTCAGACAAAATCGAGGCAAGGGTCCAAGGTCCACCACCGATGCCCCTGAGCAGCACCCATATGGCATCGAGGAGTTCAATTTACAAAATGCAAAACTTAATTATATATTGCACGTCAAATCATTCGATAATTCTGGAATTTAAAAGAATCTCAGTGAACCGCTCTGAACCAACTCGCGTAGGTCTCGCCATACATTTCAATATCGATTTGGCTTAGAAATTAAAGCAGATGATTCACTAACGTCAAGTTTCTTATGGAAAAAGATACGTCACAGAAAAAATAGTGATGACACCAAAACGCTTTCGCACGGGCGTTTATCCCTGCAGCTACCACCATTGTCGCTCTGAGCAAAACCTACAAAATGTTCTTAAACGGTGCCGATACCCGAGGACAGGTGATTGCCCCCTGGAAGACGTAGATACCTGGTAGATAACCCCGTTTTCACTGAAGGGGGAGAGACAATGTACGGAATGAGGAGTCGTCGACCGTAGGCACCTAACTTAGTGGGGGTAGAAGGGCAATTGTCCTCTCCCCCTTCCCCTCGGGCATTTCGAAGCTAGGGGGACCGACCTCCCTCTCTCTCCACCACCTTGTTTGGCTTGAAGAGGTCATGCCTCCACGCTACCTTTCCAAGTAGAACTGCCATATCCATATAGAGGAGCTTGCATCAACTACGAATCTGACATATACATAAAGGCCGTAAGGTGCGGTAAAACAAAGAAATCAGATTTCGATCTTTACCTTCTATTTATAATGTAAAAATAATAGCGCCATGCAGAAGTTATCAAGGCTCTCGCGGAAGTCTGGATGGGTTTCCAGTAATGTCCAACAGAAGCGACATTTATTTGCTACTAAAAAGCTCTGACGTTTTACTAGAAACTACTGCTAAACGTAAGGCGAACTTATATTATCTTTCCAGATGGGTCATGCGTTTTCTGGGACTATTTCGGGCTGGATTCTCTCCAGCATAGAAGCAAGCCCGTTATTCGTGTGCTTGTTTGGTTCCCCATATCTATCAATCGTGGACGATGGTTCGTAGTCTCCGACGGTTTTCTATACCCTGGGGCGATCTAATTCCTTGATATGCGGAAAAGATAGGAGGGGAGGGGGCTACAAATGCATTTCAGTTTACAGAAAAGGCTAAAGAACTGTAAACTTCGTTGTTTTAATGCTTCATCGCATTCGGAAAGTTGCCAAATCCACCAATCAACGTTGGCAAGTCTTATATCTCTCGTCATGTAGCGTAAAAATTGATCGCAGTTAATAAGCTAACTACAACCAGCCCCCAATTTAGAAACCCAGTGGGGGAAAAAAAATGAATATGGAAGCGAAAAGATGCTTAGACAGACTTCAAGGTGTCAAATCTCTGCGGGAGAATCTTAAACTTGGGAACGTCGCATGCAAGTCATCGCAGAACGTCTCTGCCCTGCAGACCAAGATTTATCTTACCCAGTTCGCACACGCACCGCACATGCGTTTGCCACAAGAAACACAGAGAGCACACGAGTGAGCCTCTCGACGCCACTCACTCCCTTTTTATCCCCCGACCCCTCACCTGACTGGCGGGTTTCAACGGAGGAGGTCTGGCCTGGAGGGCGACGCGCGAGGGTTGCCCGATCCCGTGTTTCGGCGCATGACGGCCTCGTTCGCGTCCCTGACGCCCTCGGTGGGAAACGAACGCCCCAAATCTGCATGTCCCCGATCCTCAAGAAAAAGGCGAGCTAATAGTTAATAGTTAAAATGCTGAGGCAGATTTACGCATCTCACGGCGCTACATCAGTGTTTTCCTTCCGAGATCCGCTGGGCAATCGCTCCAAGCCATGGCCGGTACACCATTCAAAATAAGGACTGAGTTCTGATGCAAGCAGTACTGATGTCAGTAGTACTAATACTAATTCATCGTTGAACCGTCTTCCTGCAGGGACTTCTGTAAGATGCTGTCATTTGCTGCTGCTGAAACTAATTAATTAAGCATCTGACGATGCTATTTTAATTTCAGATGCAGTGTTGCCAGTTTTATTTGTTATTTACCATTATTATTATTTATTCTGCTTGTTTTCAATCCGACCGAGCAAATAATAAAATGTCAATGCAATTCCAATTTTGATATATTTTTTCTCGGTTTCGATCTCATCCCTCAAAAATAGGGGAAAAAAAAAAATAAAAAATAGAAAAAATAGGGAAAAATAAAGGAAAAATGTAGAAATAGAAAGGTGCCAAGGCCGAAACGAGACGCCGCCTTTCCCATCTCCAGACTTAGCCCCTAGCTATTTATCTAGTTTGTCCTAGTCTTCAAGATTATCTTGTTCCATCTCCCAGAGACGCCCCCCTCCCCCCTCCCCCCTTCCCCCTTCCCCCTCCCCCCCTCTCGCCGTCGTGCCCGAAAAGAAATGGGAATCCGCGTTGATAGGAGTGATAATTAATTGACAATGAAATTTCCCGTCGAAGTTTGGGCCAAAGGGCAAGGCGAAAGGTGGACCTTTCAGATTCCGGAAAGGCTCAATTTTGCACAAAGGCGATTTCTTCCATTTCAAAATCTAGATTCAAACTTGGTATGGATTTTTTTTTAAATCTTATTTCCGGCACTGAAAATAAATTTCAGTCACCCAGCTCCTCTACGCGTTGAAACTTTCGGTTAATTTTCGTTGGCCTTCTTGCCAAGTGCCAACCAGAATGTGGTATAATGATCCTTAATGATCCCTAATTTAAAAGGCCAGTCCATCAAAACTTGATTGCGACTCGTATCAACGCATTGCCTACTTATAACTTTTTTAAACTGAGCTGGAGTTCCCGTTATGATTAGACGTTAGTGGAGCGGAACTACCCCCTCCCCCCCTTTTCGCCTCCACCTTTCCCCCCTCCTCTCCCCCCCTTTCGCCTCCACCTTTCCCCCCTCCTCTCCCCCTCCACCTCCACCTCTCTGGTCCCCTCCGCCTGCCGATCTGGCTCAGGCTGCCTCCTGATGATTTTAAAGGCTTAATTCCTTCCCTTGGTTGTGGTTGAAGTCCAAAATGGATTTTCACAAATTCACCTTCAAAATGGACGATTGCGTCGGGGTGCGAGGAGGGTTCTTCGGGAAGTTATTTATCTCGTTCCAGTGATGAGATGTGGTCTGGGGAAAAATTTGCAAAAATATGGAATTGAACTTTTGACAAAAAAAAGGTAAAATGAACTTTAGGACTACATGAAATAGGTAAAAGTTCATTTGACTTTTTCTTTGTCAGATGTTTCTAGTGGTTAAAGTTAAATCCCTACCAAATCCTTCCAACAAGATTTATTCCTAGGTCCTGATGCTATTCCTAGCGAAATCGGGAGCGAAACTCTCCGCCTTCTAAACGTCCGTGACTGGTTTTTCAATTGGGATTCATCTGAAAAAAAAAAAATTTATGTTCACCTCAGCTGCTCCAAGCGGATTCTTCCTAACGGGGACAGCCTGAGTCCGAGCCATATCGACGGGTGGAAGGGGGAGGGTGGGCGTAGGAAGGGGGAAGGTGAGATTCCAAGCAGGGGCGCCCTCAAAGGAAGGTAGGGGAGCTATACTCTCCCTCCCTCCCTTCCCCCATCCCTAGGGGGTTGGCAGGTCGATGGGTTTGGTTGGCGCCGTGGAGGACTGTGAGAAGAGAGATGCCGGTAACTAAAAGGATGGCTAGAGTCAAAGGGAAGAGAACCCTGTCGAGCGAGTCTAATCGGAGATGTGAATTGCGTGGGGGTCCATTCCCGGTGGGGTGCGAGACCCACCAAGGTCTGCTACCATTCCAACCTTTTTTTTTGCCGAACGTAAAAGAGCTGGCCGGTGATTATTCAAATGACTCTGGGTCGCATGTGATTCGCGTAAAATTTAATGGCACGATAGTACTTTGCGTAAGAAGGCTAAGATTTGCTTTGTGATATGGTTCTCCGAGCGACTCTTCGTCGTCTTGGTGCAGGTTGACATTTCGTCTGCAAGATGAAGTCCTTTGGGGGGGGGGGGGCTGACTATCTTCAAGGCTATTGACAAGCATCATGATAGTTGAGTTTTTTAATGGACAGTCATACCTTGTCACGGCAGATACAATTTCGTCCGATTTCACTCTTGGAATCAATATGTCCGGAATGCTTGGCATGGAAAGCCCATTCGTTTTCTAGGCGTCAAGGTCATCGAAGGTCATCTGATGGTCGATGCCCACCTCTTCGTGAAGTCTTCGTTTTTGGCTCAACATGTCTGCAACAACGAAGCTGCTTGAAATCAGACAACCTCACAGAACCAGTTCTGGTCGTCAGTTTCAGTCGCATAAGGAGAAAAAGGGCCAACGGCCAACGGAAAAACTCAACTGAACCCATTTTAGGACTCAGTTGCTCTTCTTCGAAAGCATGCAATGGAGCCGAAACGTTTTTTGTTTTTAATATTTCGTTTCGATTACCCGCCAGAATCGAGCATCAAATTCTTCATTCGATCTTAATCGTGGATTATCTCTTGGTACAATTTTGGAGATTCCTTGACGCAGGGCTCAACCAAGGGGGGGAGGGGGGGATTGGGGGGTCTGACCCCAAACCCCTGTTCGTGATGGTATCACTCTTCTTCTCCATCCCCCTCTCCCCCGAGGGTGGGGAACGCAGAAAGATATGAGCAAACGACCCGAGAGCGAGGCTGGAAGGTCACGCTAGGTACATGTGGCAAGTCGCTTTTGTAAAGTCAAGGAAACGTCCTGCACACGCTACTCGTGTACACTACACGCTACACTACGCTACAGGTTAATGAATTTCCAGTTGCACAGTCTGCGCAGTGATATTTGGGCTGAATCCCGAAATTAATTTAGTTAATTTTAAGCTTTTTCAGATATCGAATGTTCTTTCAGCATTTAGGGTTCTAATTCAGTTTCCACCATTTCATAACATTTTTCTTTGTTTCACTTTCTTCGTTCGCGTGTTCTCGCCGTTCCGCGTGTTTGTCGAGCATATCCTGATGATTTGATAACACCTTGCATTAGGAGACATTTGAAAGGCAGGTCATGCGAACTTCGAACCCCCCCCCCAAAAAAAAAAAAAAACTTTGAGGCTGGTTGCGCCACTGCCTTGACGCCTTCAACACATGACTTTTCCCCAGTCCGAGTTAGAGTCAGCCCGAAACTTATTCGGTGAGCAAAGCTTGAGGCCAGGCGAGGACTCAGATGTTCAAGGGGCAATGGGAATGGGGGGGGCCAAAGGAGGAGGGGGGGGGGGGAAACAACACATCCTAATCCTTTTTTTCTTTTGTTCGAATCGTTTCCTTGGAGAACGGCGAGGAAAGGAAATCGTGGTCTGGTCGAAACGCTCCCCTTATAAACGCCTTGGGAGCGTTTCGCCTCAGGCGTTGTCACCAAGCCCGACCGATTTCCTGAGACTTTCCGGTTTAGAGCTGAGGAAGACTATGGGCGCGTCTTTTTCTCCAGCTACCAGCAGCTGCTGGCGAAAAAGACGAGTTGGCTTGGCACGACCACGTCATCGGATACTGGTGGGCCTCAGCTAGCCGAGCCGCTAGCAAAAAAAAACACGCTCGATAGAAACCGCGCGGCTGGAAATACCGCATAAGTCAATCGTGCCTCCATCCACCTGCTTCCATCGAAAGAAACGTGCCAACATTCACTTGATCGATGAGAAGATAGTGCCTCCACACACCTCAGCCAGTCAACAGAATCGAGACCGAATTCGTGGAAATTCCGTGAAAACATCCCTGGAACACCCTCGAGGCGCAGGAGACGGGGGATTCCCGTCCCAAGAGTCATCATTCAGGTTGGCCATCGTTGAGATTCTCGCGATCGATTCTGTCATCCCGGAACGGATCCACGAAGCGACTCGGTCGAGGACCAAAGCAGCCACCTCATCGCCCGGAGGCGACTTTCGCAGGGGAGAGACGCTGTTTGGACTTAGGGATGCCCAGGGCTGTCCCAGGGTTATTAGATCTTTTCTAATAATAACCTTGCTTGTTTCGACTGAAAGTCGTTCTGGGTTTCGGCTCATACAGAAAATGTTTTAAATCCGGCTGTCGCGTTCGATGCCGGATCGTTCTGGCCCCACCGTCAGTGGCGTAGCGAGCCCCAACTTCGGTCTAAATGCATCCGCATCCCCCCCCCCCCCCCCCACCGGGCGAAGAGAGGTAAGCCCCACACAGTTCCGCTTAGCCCCCCATTGGCGAAACCCTGGCTACGCCACTGTCCAACGTATTTTTGAGTCACGTGAATTTTTCCAGACCCCTCATCATGAACAGGTGACTTGATGGAAAGGGGGGAGGGGGGAGGGGGTAAGGGGTGAAAACAAATCTTACATCACTTTTCCAGGTTGGCAGTCTCACTGGATTTAGTGCCCCATTGCTTAAATCCCGCCGATAAAAGGTGACGAGCCCCGTTTCAAGCGGTTCCATGGAATAACGATATTTTGCTCCTTGAACAGTTTGAAAAGAACAACTGTTCCATCGACCGAGCGTTTCGACCAGGTTCCGCCCGAGGCGAAGAAGGGGGAGCCCGAACCGAGTTGTTGAGACTTTGACCCACTTCTTCCTGGAAAATCGTCGAAACGCGGCTGAGGGGGAGTTGCGAGGAATGATTCGTGAAATTCACGGAAATTCCGGAAATTCATGGAAACATTAATCACAGTCCCGGGTTGCGCCCAATAACAGTCCCGAGTCAATATCAATTCTGTCATATAAGATCCGAATTTTAAACTGGGACCGAAACGAAATTTCCGAGTTTATCAACAGACCTGATTCGGGAGTTCCTTGGAATGGATTTAAACACTTTTTTTTCTTTTACTACGGAGGAGCGCTATGAATTCGGCTGAGTCATGTACTTATGATAGGGAGGCCCCAGCATCTCTCTATACAACGTTGAGGTGGAATTTCCAACCTTTCCACCACAACATCACATCATTTTGATAAAAGCTTTTATTCCACGAATTACACTTACATTGTAGCGAGGAATCGCATACGCGACAAAGTTGCGTTCGGCCGAAGTCTTCTGGAGCGAAATCAACATCCTATTGGAACGTGAGCGACAAAATGCCAAGCAAGCAAAGCCTTCGGCGAATGCAGCGGATAACCCCTTTAACCCCCCCCCCCCGTTGCCCCACGAGCATGGTCTCTAAATAGACCTGTCTTACGGGTTCCTCTCACTCGGCCGAGCTTGGGTAGGGTATCGTATTCCGTCGCGAATGGCACGATTCAATTCTCATTTAGCTTCACGATTGTCTTTGGGAACCGCGTTTCGATTCTTAGTAAGCAGAAATATTTGTGACGATTATGTGACGAATGAAACAAATTTATATTCACTGTCAAGGACTAAATAAAACGAGAAATTGCGATTTAACAACTCTTTTATTGTCTTTTGCTGGGCTGCCGGCATGAAGCTCAACCCTGAAACGAATTGAACCTCTCAGATCCTTTTCCCCCGTTCCTTCACTCTTGCCACGAACTCAATCGCACACGCTCATTCACGCGGACGCGCACAAAAGCGCCGACGGACGAGAATTCTCATCTCGCTTTCGAGGAAGAAGTGCACAGTGCTTCCAAGAGCCGCCAAAACGATAAGGATGAATGATGCTAAGCATGGATAATACCATCCTTGGCGAAGACAAACTTTGGCAGCCACCGACAAAAAGTACATCAGACTAAGTTCATCTTGAAAATGGCACAAATCGCAGGAGAAAAATAGCAGCATTGTGAGCCAGTTGAGCATGGTTATGCTACGAAAGAAAGAATGTCGTTAATGGCAGAAATTATAGTACTGACAACTTATCATCTAGAATCCAAAATCGCAGAAGTTTGCGGGCACCCTTTGTGCGGGTTTGGCGAGAATTCACGCTGAACCTGGAGGACCCAAAATAAATGCAGACTTCAAGAAATCATCTTTTTAAAACAAGGTCTGAACCTCACTTCAGTAATTAGTGAAATATTTTTGCTTATGATCAGCTATCACTGCCCTTTAAACCACTGTGCAATGAGGGGGGGGTCTCAACCAATGACGTAGACATGGGGGGAGACAACAAGCAATGACATAAACAAGGTGAGGGTGGGAAATCCTAAACTGACATAAACAATGACGTACCTACGGGCGCGAACATTTTCACAAGAACTCTGGGTAAAGAACACCAGGAAACGATGGTTTGCGCTGGAGAAATATCTGCTGAGAGTGTTTTCGGCATGCAGGCGAAAGAAAAAGAAAAGAGTTCAAGAGTTTCCTGTTCCTCTGAGTTGAAAGAACTTCATTCATTCGATTTCACCCTATCGCGGTCTAAAAAATAATTCTCACTGCACACTCTTTGATTCACGACGAAATACTTCCTAGTGGAAAAGGGCGAATTTCCTTGATTGAATTAAAGGACCACGACGAAAGGTTAGCTTTGCGCCAAAAAAAAAGAAACGAACACGAAAGAGTGAAAAACCTTGAGCGCCATGTAGCTGTCAACAAATTTGAATACAAGAGATTTTGAACATTGAAATATAGCATGAATCCCGTCACGAGACCTTTTCATACAGCACTGGAAATAAGCAAATCGACAGGAACGAGAAAGCACAGGGAAAGGCGAATGAGACACACACGCCACATATCTTCATTTCTGGACGGACTATCGGTAAACTAACGGACAGTTAGATCTCTATTCTTCTTGTGATTGTGAAGCGCGACAAATTTTAGTAACGGGCTGTTGAATGTACATAGTCGGATGAGACGAGTCCAAGCAATAATGAAGGCATATGAAATAATTAACAAATTCAGAAAAAACGAGAGAGACAGACGTCAATAATATGTTTCTCTCTCGACCCATCCGCCTGGTTTGCGACGCAGCAGGAACTTTCGAAGCTCATCGTAAGTGAGAATGAGGAAGAAAAACGGCAGGGCGGGCAGCCACCATTCCCATCTGCAAGATAGAGGTGAAAAGGTTTCGCCGCGAACGAAGAGAAAGCCGGAGAGAGACGGAGAAGACGTACTTGAGAGGATACATGCTGACGGCTTCTACCAGACCGGGTGTGTAGAGGAACATTGCGGCCATGGCCGTCTCGAATACTAGGGCGAAGTTCATGACCCAGTTCCTGGGGATAAAGCACGGACGGGTTTCGACCTTGTGGTTCCGCGAAGTGCCGTTCCGTTTACGTAAAAAGACTCACGTCATTCCCTGTTGGAACACCGAATTACGTCGCGTCTTCAAGATGATGAGATTGGCCCATTGCACGATCACGATGGCAAGGAAAAACCCGGCATAACATGCAAATTCCAAGTTCTTGCGGTCAGTATACGTCTATCGGGAAAACACGAAGCGTTCCCTCATCGTTCTGTCCCGGGGAAACTCGGTAAAGGTAGACAAACGACTCACCCATTCTTGGCCGTACGAATCCTCCAGATCGTTGATCGCCTTGGAGTCCCAATGAGAGCGGAGCCCGAACAGACTGAGAGGCCTGAATCCGTTGTGCGCCATGATCGTGAAATATGCGAGATATCCCCCCGCTATTTGCATCGCTCCGATGTGGAAGTACGACATGCACACGAGGCTGTCCGAGAGACGGCCATTTTCCGTAAGTCAAGTACTGGCAAGGCCACTTTCGATTATTGCAAGCATTTTCTTCACGAACGGGTTAGTTACCTGGTGGACGGTTGAGTTTATGTTCAAATTCATCAATTTGAACATAAACTCATTCATTCAATTCATCCAAACGGATTGATTTACAACTGTGTGGGAAAAAAACTGGAAGCATAGATACACTTGTCTCGCTTTGAAATGAACTGAGAGATTGCCCCCCCCCACACTCCGGGATTTACCGTGAAAGCTCAAGTGATGTGGAATGTTAGTTTTGTTAAAACCTCCAAAGAATGCTGTTGAAGTTAGCCCAATATGCCATTTTTTTTAGTCTTTAGTTGCTCTCGAAATGTAATTTCCCATCTGAAATTGGTCTTATTCTCTCCAACTCCAAAACTCTCTTTAAAAAAAATCTCTCTAACCAAGGCCACATACTCAGTGAGAAAAAAGACACATGCGGAGACCCCCATATTCACCAAAATACGTTGGCATGCATGAAAACAAAGAACCGAACCCCTGGCATGGGAGCCTCCTCGGGCACTCACCAAGGAGTCACTAATTTCTCTGTGAAGGGATTCCTGGGCTGGCGTTTCATGATGTCTGACTCGGCCTTCTCATAGGCGAGGGCGACCGCTGGAAGCTGGATTGGGCAACACTCCATTTCAAACTCGAGGGATTTCTAAGGCTACTAATGCAATCACAACTACATATTGCTCTTGAATAACTATGAAGGAAATCGAGCAAGCTTGGTGACGCTACAAATACTTAGGCTGTTCATGACCTTTTGGCATGTTTACCTTTCATTTATTCGCTTATCATGAAAAGGACCTTCAGGTCCTTGTTCTTTCCGTTTGACTCCACAGATGCTACTGACTCACTGACACTCTGAACAACACACGACATAAACATCAAGAACTCATAACAATATGCAAGAGGCTTAAGTCGAGAGCAATACGACGAACGAAAACAACGAAAACTCACCAAATCGGTGCCAAGGTCGATGCAAAGGATGGTGATGGTCCCAAGAGGCAGCGGTATGGCGGCCACGATGAAGAGCACGACCGGCGCAAGCTCCGTCATGTTTTTCGTGAGGGTGTATGCGACCGTTTTCTTTATGTTGTCGAAGATCAATCGACCTTCTTCCACTCCGGTCACGATGGAGGCGAAATTGTCATCCAGTAGAATCATGTCGGCTGCTTGCTTCGATACGTCCGAGCCGGCGATACCCATCGCGATTCCTGAAGGCAAGGAAGAAGCATTCGGGCTCGGGTGGGCGGAGAGGACATGGAACCACGATCATTATTTAATTTTAATGAAGAAATATTTTCCCAATAGAATAAAAGATTGGCCAAAAAAAAGAATAACTAGAGTACCAGCCCAGATACAGATCTGGCACTTCACTGGCCCCTGTACCACTAGAATTATTATATATAATATACAGGGTGGCCCAAAAGTAGGTATACAGTTGTTTAGTTATTTTTATTTTTATTTTCTTTTTCTTTACAGATATTGTGAATGTTTTTTTTTTTTTACAGATTTTAATTTTCTTTACAGATAAACGTTGATGGAAGACATTTCGAGTACTTACGAGATTAAACAGTGTTAAACAAATGTAAATGTAATAAAAAATGTAATAAAATGCAAATAAACTATACTGTATACTTACTTTTGGGCCACCCTGTATATATATATTATACGAGCTGCTCCCCGTGAAATATTCACGTTTTCCTAAGTGAGATTATTCGGCTTCTGTCCTATACCGTTCAACAGGGCCGCCCTAGGGGCGGCCTGTTTCTAGGGGCCTTGGTTAGAGAGATTTTTTTTAAAGAGAGTTTTGGAGTTGGAGAGAATAAGACCAATTTCAGATGGGAAATTACATTTCGAGAGCAACTAAAGACTAAAAAAAATGGCATATTGGGCTAACTTCAACAGCATTCTTTGGAGGTTTTAACAAAACTAACATTCCACATCACTTGAGCTTTCACGGTAAATCCCGGAGTGTGGGGGGGGGC